CATTCCTCAGAAGGAGTTTACCATGGCCGGGAAGGATATGATAGTCACTCACTCTTTAATTCTTGGTATTTTGATCACACGACTTTATTTTTTTGTGGAGAATATTTATTTGGTAATCCCTTTTTTTCTTTTCGCGCTTTTCGCTTTCTTTTTCTATTCCCTAACTTTTTCCTGGACAAATTCCTCTTGCATTTGATTTTGAAGTCCAGCGGGATACCCTGACTTTTGCCTAAGCGACTTGTTTTTTCAAGTTTTGACTTAGCAAGGCTTTTTGTCTCTTTATTTTACTATTTCTTTTAGTTTGAACCAGTCGTGTGATTTCGAGTCATTATTTGATTTGTTTAAAAAGGTGTGACTGCCTTGCTGTTTGGTTGACGGGAAATAGCCATTATGGTATCATCACCTTTTGACCTTTCGATGTGCGAGAGATATCTATTAGGATATCATTATCATTGATGCACACTGCTGATATATAAGAGTTTAACCACTGTGGTTTTGTTCTTTCTCAACCTTCTGAAGGATAACCTTTGTTGTATCCTTTGATGTGCACTTTTAATGAGTTTTGAATGCCCAATCAGATTAACTGAAATCTACCCTGCCCCGGGTTAAATGTGAGGGTTTTTCTGAAAAGAAAAGAAACTCCTACTTCAAGGCTCAAAGGGGTTGACGAGGGTCTATCTCCCTTATATCTCCGGTGTTTGGGGATTGAAACAAGGCCTGTACATCATCAGCAGGGTCCTGCTCAAAAGCACACTGTTTGAAATTTTTGGTATATTACTCATCATCCTCCCTTCAGATATTTTTTTATTTAACAAGAGTTAAGTATCAAAAAGTAAAGAAAAAACATTAATGAGTGAATACGAATGGATTAATTTAAGACAAACATATTCAATGCATTATGATTAATATTCAAGAATCAACAAGTTTTGCATACAAGAAAGTACTGAACCAAAGCAAGAAAGATTACAAATGAGAATTGAAAATGAAACTAGAAATTACTACGTTGAGGAGACCAGTCTCGGTATGGACTTGTTGCTTCAGATGATGATCTGGCAATCTTGACATTTACTGAGTCGAAGGAGACCTCAAATTTAACTGACTGGCCCGAAATTGATAGCCTTTGCATCAAGCAGGTCTTGCACATTTTCTTTGAAAGCCCATCAGTCCTCAATGGAATGACCTAGTGCCCCAGCATGGTAATCACACTGTACATTAGGATTGGAATCCATAGAACAAGGAGGAATGACAGGCTTCAGTGGCTTGGGTTCCACCAAGGAAAGCTTGAGTAACTGAGAGAACAGCTGGCCATAAGTCAAAGGAACAATGTCGAACACCCTCTTTGGCTTCTTATCCTTTTGCTTACCTTGTTGCGTATGTCTTTTTTGATAGGTTTGTTACCGAGTAGCACACTGATCCAAGTGAACACGAGGAACATTCTGGTTTTGATTAACCAACCGATTTCCATAACTTACAAACAACTGCTGGTGAGAACTTTCCGGGATTATAGGTTGTGGATGACGTGACTCCGATCGTGAGATAGAACTTTGAAGAGGAGAAGGCGTAGCCCTATTCTTTGTAGTGGTTGGCATAAGATTGATTTGCACACTCAGACCTTCGGGAGTGAAGAGAATTGTCCCTGCATCAAGCAAGTCCTGGACTTGGTGCTTAAAAGCTACGCAATCTTCAATATCATGACCAGGTGTCCTAGAATGAAAATCGCACCTAGCATTGTCGTCAAAGCCATGAGGGCGTTTTTCATGTGTAGTGAAAATTCGGAGTTTAACCAAATGTAATTCTAGCAGGGGAGGAAGCAATTGTGCATACAACATTGGAATAGAATCAAATTTTCGTCCAGGCTGTTTTGGCCTTTGCTGACGGACTTTGCCTCTTGGGTCCTCTCGGGAAGTGACAACTTGTTGCGGAGGGGAGGATCCTGGAATGCACGGTTGCGGAGGAGATACTCCCTGACCTACAAGAGTCCTCAGGTTATGGGGAGGAATGGTAACTCCTATTGTGGCAGGCATAGAAACATCTTCTTTCTTCAACATTGTCCCCAAAATTTCCATAACCAAATTCAATTGAGTCTTTAACTGAGTGTTCTCTTCTTTCAGGAGTTCTTGTCCACGGACCAAATCCTGCATGTCTAGCACCACGAATCCCATCTGTTCTTTCATCTCGTCCAATTCCCCACGAAGTTATTCCATATCTTGAATCTGACCACGAAGCGATGAGAAGTCAAGATTTGCAGCTCTGAAAAGAAAATACCGAGTCTGAATAAGGATTCCCCATTTCTGAATACCTTCGGAGTACCTGCTATGGATGCATGAGGTGAATGAGCGGATGCAATGCCATGTTCAAACTTTTTTTTTTTTGCATATAATCTTTCACACTTCCTTTTTTGTGTAAAATAAACATGTTATGATGCAAGGTGCAATGACATAAGTTCAAAAATTCAGCATAACAATTGTACAATCCTCTGGATAACTGCTGTATAAATCTGCTGAATAATATGGATATCACAGGATCAAAGGTTCAGAACCAAATTCAGCATACAATGGAACCAAGTACCATGATTAACCGTTGTATAATCTCTGACCAAGTAAAATATATCAGGATCAAAGGTCCGGAACATAACTAGATAACCATCCTGAATACCGAATCCAAAAAAAATAAAATAAATCTTAGACCCATATAGTCACCAACAGAACAACAGTCACTATCAGAACCTAGTTACCAACTGAGCACGAGTAACCATTTGAACATAGTCACCAACTGTACCTGTAATGATAAATCCCTCCCCACTCACGTGTGAAGACTAGGTCAGGGTGAGATAATGGTAACTTGAAAATCACGGGTCCACCTGAAAGTAAAATCATCGCAACACAGACGTGCATGATGAAAGTACTTTCAATTGAACCTCATCCGAGCGTGGTATATGACATGACTGCACTAATCGGACCATGTCCTATAGCCGTCATGCCCCCACTCTATTCCTAGGTGTCCTAGTGCACTATGGCCTGGGTACTGGGCCTTTTACCTCAAAAGTGACATCCCCACCCAACATGGAAAACCGAGTCCAGCATAATGGATAACAAATAGGGAAAGCAATAAAATGCAATGCAAACTTATGCTCAGGCAAACATGTATAAATGAGTAAACTGAAAGCATAAAAATAAACACCCAAAGAAAAGAAAGCAAGAGCTAGGAGCGACTCTGGGATGGACCAGCATTTGGTCGACCAGTTTCCCCAGTGAAGTCGCCAGCTGAAACAACCGACTGAAAATCATCAAAACAATGAAGTCGCCATCGAACGTCTTTTATCCCACAGGTAGGGAAAGGTAAACATCGAGAAAACCCGAGAAGGATGAAATCAAGGTCGAACGACCAAGAGATAAGGGTAAGGGAGTCTGTTACGCGAGGGGAAGGTATTAGCACCCCACACGCCCGTAGTACTCTATGGTATCCACTCTTGTTGTCTATCTTATGGGTGTGTTTAATCTATGCTTACGGTTTATTATTGCTAAAGGGAAAGTGCATGCAAAATAAAAGGAGAAAAGAATGTAGGGAAAATAAAATTGTGCTCGCCTGGGCCCTACCCCAATGCCTACGTATCCGTTTTAAGGAATCTAGCAGCCGTAGTTCGGCTTATATGTTTTTGTTTGTTTATATTTTCTTTAACGAACAGTATTAATCTCGCCTTCTGCCGCAACTCGACCTTTGGAGATTTACGCGTCAGCACAGAAGTGAATTAATACGCTCTTTTGAAAAGGGTTTGAAAGAAAGGCCCGAGGGCAAAAAGATTTTTATGTTTGTTGGTGTTTTTGCTTGTAGATAATAGCTAGTTAACCTCAAGAGAGAGATTTTAGCCATTTCTCTATTTATTCATGAAATGAGTCTTTGAGACTTGAATCATACCAAAGCTTAGAACAAGAGAATAATAATGTCGAGAAGAAACCCGCTCATCCTCTCTCAAACTTAGCCAAGACATGGTTTTTGTCAGTAAATTTTTATATATTTTTGAAGTTTGCGAGAAAAGAAGTTTTTGTTTTTAAATGCATATGCGAAAAGAAGGAGAGAAAGTCACAGGAAGACAAAAGTCACAGGAAGACGAAAGTCACAGGAAGATGAAAGTCACAGGAAGACGAAAGTCACTGGGAGACTAGCCTATTTCTAAATCTAATGTTATCGTGTATTATACCTAAAGTTAGAATCTCGAGGGAATTCTAACTAGAAAGTAGTAAAGTGCAGGAGTAAAAATAGAGTTGTGACGATACCGAACGGAGAAGGTCTGTCGCCTCTTCAACCATGCAAGCCATAAGAGAATTCTATCAAAGCTTCCTTAAGCGAGTGATTGAAAATTATGCTCTTAGCTAGCTTTGAAACTTCATGAAACTCCTCACTCTAGTCTCTTTTATTTACCAATATTGCCAAAGAAAATAAATCGCCAAAATTAGTCGCAATTGAAATGAGTATGGGAAATAAGATCTCAGGAGGTGCGAACTAAATTCACTATGTGCTGCAAAAAATACAATGACATTAGGCCCCATCAAAAATGGACACAATCAGCAAGAAAATAAAAATAATCATGGTCCAAGAATTGACTAGTTTGGCCCATACTAATCATTCTTAATTTTATTATTAATCATATTATTGTATTTATTTGTTGAATTAATAATAAAAGAATAAACATGTAATAGAAATACTGGTTCAGAAAGAACAAATAAAACAAAAAAAACAATTAAAACTAAAATAAAAAAATATAGGAAAGTTGAGAAAGGGGTTAGGGTAAAAGAGGGAGTTGTTCTCTTCTTCTCCGCTTGCAAACAGAAGCGCCGCCGCCGGCCTTCGCCTGTGCGTTGCCGTCTCATTCTCTCTTCTCATCCGCCGATCGATTCTGATGTTTCCCCGCCGTAGACAAAGGTGTCCCAACCTTAATTCCTCAAATCTTTCTTCGCTTCAATGTTAGGCCAGTGGACGAGGTGAAGGATTCCCCAATTCTAATGGTGGTATCAATAGGTAGAAGAAGAAATATATGCTATAGACGAAGTATTGATTGGAAAGTTCAGAGGGTTTACCGATCGGAGTCCGTCCGATGCGGCTTTAATGGCGGCGATGATGAGATAAAACCAGCGGGAGCTTCCGAATTCCAGTATGCTTCCTATCTGATTCTTGTTATTACTCTTTGTTCTTCTTCTTCTTCCAGTTCTTCTTTCTGTTTCCTTAAGCGGTGTAAGCCGAGGAATAAAATCCGAATTGAACATTTTGAAGGTTGGCGAAGATGCATTGTTGAAGCAAATTAAAGTGAGGTTGGAGGATACAATTCATTTATGAAGAATGTTGATGTCGATGAAGATCATATGGTGAAAATGGCAAAAACTGTGTGTTGTCGTGATGAATACATGGCTTGAAAATTTATGACAGAGGTTACGCAGTGATGAAGGGTTTGGAGATGGTTTGAAGCTGTTCGTGCTTGAAGGTGATGGAGTTTTGTTGAAGGTGAATGAGGATGTGAAGTGGCTGCAATTGTTGGTGAAGAAAGATGATTGAAGAAAGAAAGTTGAAGATGAAGATGATGAAGGATGCTAATGAAGATCGAAAGAGAGAAGTGAGAGAATTCTCAAATATTTGTTTTGGTGGTGATGGAGAAGGAAGCAGAGAGAAGAGGGTGAAATTTTGGTGATTCTCCCGTGAACTTGAAGAATAAGATGATTGAGAGGTAATATTTTTTTCTGTGTTAAATATCCTCTCTATTCTGTCCATCCCCATTATGTATATATGCTGGAAGTTTTGTTGTAAAATAAGCCATGAGTTGGTTATGTGGTTAGTTAATTCTGTTAGGAAGTTAGGATGCAGTTTGTTATGCAGTTATAAGTGGTTAGAAGGTTTGAGAGTTTGTTATGAATTGGTTACTGAATGTTAGGTATGTTGTAACTGTTTTTGGGTTAGTTAAGTTGGTTAATTGAGATATGGTTTTGGATAGGAAGTTATGGTTAGAAAATTCTGTTAGGGAATTTAGTTGGGGAATAGGTTGTAAGAAAGCTGGAAACTTGTTGTTTAGAAATTCTACTTTGGAAGTTGGTTAAGAAACGATTAGGAATCTTTGAATTAGAAAGGTTGGTTGAAATTGTGTTAGTTATAAGTTAGAAGTCCTGTTTGGAATTGGTTGGAGTTAGAGGAGTTAGGCTGTTAGAGGAAGTTGTGTTACGGTAGTTAAGAGATGAGCTGGAAAATCGGTTAGAGGGGAGGTTATGTGTTAGTTTTGGAATGAAGAGTAGCTAGGATACTGTTTAGTTATTTTTCTGCTGGACAGTTAGGGAATATGACAGTTTAGTAGCAAATTAGTTAGAAATTCTATTGTGAAAGGAGGTTAATGGATTTAGCTAAGTTTGTTGAAGGCAATTTTGTTATTAAGAGGTAATATGCTATGTGAAGAAGTTAGTAGTTGAACGAAAATGTTAGTTGGTGTTACCATGCTGTTGATTAGCAAGCATGCAATCTGTATTATTTGGAAGGAACTTGCATTGAATATTTAGATCAACATCTTCAGCAGTTGATTGCTTCTGCTTTTTGCATTTACGCCTCTTCCAACTACATGGCCTAGATCGCTTCCCAGTCCTAGTTGTAACACAATTCAAGTCTGGTTTCCCTTCTGACTCTGACTTCTTTATAACAGTAGCAGCTCTAGTAGACTTAGGAGCTTCAGAGGCACTGGCATCATAGCTCCTGCTCTCATGATACCTATTCAATTGCATTGAAAGCTCATCCGTCAAACCTAGATTACTTGCAAAGCCAACGGGGTCATCGGCATTGCAAGAAATACGGCGCTTTTGTTTTTGTACTGTTGTGTCATCAATGTCAGCAGATCTTTTTCTCTTTCGTGCTTCGCATTTATAAAGTGAAGAATGCTGATGGTCAAATTTTGATGAACACTTCTTCAACTCGTTTACCAAGGAAGGGATCATTGAGAATTACTTCTTCACACTCCCTCATCTTCTTTTGAGCGCCATCAAAGTCATAGTTGACATAAACACAAGCCAAAAACTCGGTGATGGGGTCCTTGTATGAATTCTGCTCTTGTTGAATAACTTTTATAAAATCTTTGAATTGAGGCCTCCTGCGCTTATTGACAATAAATGCTGTGGCCAAGTATCGCAAAAGGTGTGGAGCACTAGTTTGGATTGCGTTAAGATACTTGTCCTGGTTAAACAAATCAATGATTTGTGTTCTTCCATTGTCATGGTTGAAAAAGATGAACAGACTCCAATGCATCAACCATATTCTGCTTTGCACCTGATTAATAGGTGATGAAAAATTCTTTGAGTCAATTATTTCCTTCAGGCGGTTGAGCTCTTCAAGAGCAATATCCCAATTTTGCATCAATACTTCAGCTGCCAGCTTTCCCCACAATGCATTTAAACTCCTTTCACTATTTGTGCATAATGCTCTGTACTGATAAAGATAGTCAGCAGCACCAGAGTAGCTTCCACATTCAAACTGAAACTTGGCATATTGGTATAATGCCTCTATTTGTGCAGCACCAATCTGGTATTTGTCATTGAGCATCTGGAGATTGTAGTGTTTATCAGCCCTCAACTCCTGAACAACAGCAGGATTCTGAAGGAAAGCAACCAGAGGAGCGGCGGCATCTTCAAGAGACTTGAGACGAGCAACAACATCAGCCCTACGTTCGACCATATCCTGAGGGATATCTTCAGTATGGTAGAGCGTCTTGTGAATGTCCATGGCGTAATCAACCATGTTTGTGTTGTTCAAGAGATTGATCTTAGCCTTAAGGACATGGTTATCGTCGTATAACTGTCTCTCTTGGAGAAACTCTAAGAGAGGGAATACCAAATGTCTGTCGAGATTTGGAGCAATCCACAGTGTCAGATCGTACTCTGCCATTCTCTTTGTTCCGATACCGATTCGGCCGAAGTTGTTGATGCTGGTTACTAGAGACAGGGAAGAAGCTGATATGATGGCATGATTGCTTATATTGAGTTGGATTTTTTTTGTATGAATGTGCAGGTCATGAACTGAAGATGAAGAACTTTGACATGGCATGGAATTAGAAGTTTACTCATGGAATTTTAGCACCTTTAGGACTAAGGAATTTTGTTCAAGTGTATTTTGTAACCGTTTTCTTTTCTTTGTAGAATATTGGTGTAATGGGATTGTAATGATTTTATAATGAATGTTTGATTTGGATGAACTTGAAATTTATAGTGTGAATTATTAGTGACTTTGAGCTTGAAATGTCGGGTGATGGATTTTTTTTTGGACGGAGTTTAAATGACAAAGTCTTGAAAAAATGCTTGAAGATATGAAAGCATCAAATTTTCTTGTGGGGTGTTCTTAAAATTGAATGAAATTGAATGGAATTGGATAGTATTTTCTTGAACCATGAATGAGAATGAAATTGAATGGAATTGGATAGTATTTTCTTGAATAAATGTTTGAACGCATTGTGAACTTGAATCTGAAATAACGGTGAACATCTTTGTAATGCGTATGAACTCTGACTTGAAACAAAACCTCGCAGTCTGCACTTTACCTTCCAAGAAAGCCATATGAACAATACTTAAGACTCTTTGCCGACTTTAATCCAGTCAAACACTTTCGAACATCTTGAATTTAAATCAAACTTCAAGTCCAAATCACACTTGCATTCTCAATGAACTCCTAACTTCAATCTTGAATCCCAAATCAACTTGAATGACAAATAATTCGAATAGCCAATAAGATCTTGATCCTAAAAATTCACAACCTTGACGACCTTTAATCCACAAGTCTCTTATCTTGACAAAGTCCTTCCCTAATTGACGACCTTTAATCATCAAAGATGTACACAAATGATAATGAAAGAACATGATCGAGAATAACATGAAACTTTATTTCCCCTGATCTTCAATTACTTGAACATTTATCAATGAATAGAAACCCTGATTTTTAATGAAATCTTCCTTTTCTGAACCAATATTTCTTTTCCTTTACCATACTATTCTTCAAATGCAACTCGAATTCCCAACACATATTAGATGAAAATTCAAGGGAGACCTTGGTCCCAAAGTTAATTTTTCAAAGCTTACTTTAACCGAAGTCAACAGATCTTATCCACATATCTTTGAAATTGACCCATGATTATGCATCTCAAGGTCTCATAAGAGCTTGTAAGCCCATCAACCAGGTATGCCATGTTGAACAAACCCTGCCTTGAATGCCTTGAACCTTGAATTACCTTGCATGAATTCTTCTATGGGAAACCTACTTCAATCCAAACCTACTCACATCGCAGATAACAAATGACAATGATGAGGACAATGATGGCCTTGGTTAAGGAGAAATCTATGAATTCATATCTTAGGTCATGAACCACGCTTCACAATTCAATCCTCAGCCCTTAGCGATTGGTTATTTCAACTTGAGATTAGTGTCATAAGGAGCATCTTACAGATGGATGATAAAGTCTGAATCACAGAAGAATTCCCTTGATGTGAAACCCTCATAATCTTGATCCTTCGTTCAGACGCACAAAGAAATATCCGGATGAAACATCTTTGAACCATGATTCAACAAAACCTAATTTGATTAACTGAGGAGTAGACGATTATCATGTCACAGTCATTAATCCTAATCAAATGACAAGCATACTTATAGGAAAGGACGTCATGATTCTAAGCCCACATATGCTAGGTCACGTCCTAGAGTTCTTGACCAGAATGACCTACAATCGGTTGTTCATCAGAAGATAATAGCCTTGCTGCTTGAGGGAGAAGAAGTCCTTTATTGGATATGAGCGCCTTAACCACTATGAAACCCTAGTATCGCACAACCACTGAACTTTGAACCTCAGAGCCATATTGAATGAAATGTATGCCATGTTAGTGACCTAATGAAAAAGATGCAGATGAATGCAAAAGTCTAAGCCAAAATAAAGGAAATTAGGAGGGAAAATTTTGGGGTGCAACATGTTGCATCCAAATACTGCTATATATTCAGCTTCAATAGTTGATATTGGAATGGTGGATTTCCTTTTGCTGGACCACGAGATTAGATTGTCTCCCAAAAATTGGCAGCTTCTGGAAGTGCTTTTTCTTTCTATTCTGTCTCCGGAGAATTCAGCATCACAATACCCTACTAATTTGTAATCTTTGGATTTTCTATAGCAAAGCCCAAGATTAGTAGTACCTTCCAGATACTTGAAAATTCGCTTAACAACAGTTAAGTGAGATTCTCTAGGATCTGATTGGAATCTAGCACAAAGACAAACGTTATATAGAATATCAGGCCTTGAAGCTGTTAAATATAAGAGAGAACTAATCATACCTCTGTATAGCTTCCGTTCTACCTTTTTACTTACCTCTTCCTTTTCCAGAATGCGTGTGGGATGCATAGGAGTTTTGGATGGCTTATATTTTGACAAGTCAAATTTCTTCAGAAGTTCTTTGACATACTTGCTTTGATGAATGTAGGTTCCTTCTGGAGTTTGATTGATTTGGATACCCAGAAAGAACTTGAGTTCGCCCATCAAGCTCATTTCAAACTATGCCTGCATAGACTTAGCAAGTTCTTTTCCCAAAGAGGATTTAGTAGATCCAAAAATTATATCATCTACGTAAATTTGACAAACCAGAATGGCATTTTTAAATAGTTTACAGAAAAAGGTTATGTCCACCTTCCCTCTGGTAAAATCATTTTCTAACATAAAATTACTTAGTCTTTCATACCAAGCTCTGGGAGCTTTTTCAGACCATATAGTGATTTCTTAAGTTTATAAAAATATTCTGGATGTTTTGAATTTTCAAATCCAGGGGGTTGGTGCACATAAACTTCTTCATCAATGTAAACATTTAAAAATTCACTTTTAACATCCATTTAATAAAGAGTGATGCCATTATTTACTACAAAAGAAATTAAAAGTCTGATAGATTCTAACCTGGCGACTGGAGTAAAGGTTTATGTATAGTCTATCCCTTCTTGATGACTATAACCTTGTGCCACCAGTCTTGCTTTGTTTCTGACGACTTCTCCTTGTTCATTTAGCTTATTTCTGAAGACCCATTTGGTTCCAATGATGTTAAAGCCTTTTGGTTTAGGAACTAGATCCCACACATCGTTTCTGGTGAACTGATTTAGTTCTTCCTGTATTGCGAGTATCCAGTCATTGTTCATAAGGTCTTCGTCAATGGAAGTTGGCTCAATCAGAGGCACTAGTCCAATGAGAGATTCTTCAGAATTTCTGAATGTATATCTTGTTCTGATTGGGTCTTCTTTCTTTCCCAGAATCGTGTTTTTCGGATGAGCTAATCTGCTTCTGGATTGTCTTTTCTGGATGGGATCTTCAGATGTTGTTGTAATATTTGTGACATCCTCTTCTTTTGACTGTGATTCTTCATATAGAACTTCTGATGTTGTTTCCTCAGTACCTATAAATTGAACTTCTATATCTGCAAAAAGTTTTACCCTACTTTAACTTTTAGGAGCCAAGATTATCATCAAATCTGACACTGATAGACTCTTCCACAATCCGTGTTTCTGTGTTATATACTCTATAACCTTTTGAGCGTTTAGAGTATCCTAACATGAGACACTTTTGTGCTTTAGAGTCAAACTTGTTCAGATGTTTTTTAGTGTTTAGAATAAAGCAAGTACGTCCAAATGGATGGAAATAAGAAATGTTGGGCTTTCTGTTCTTCCACAATTCATATGGAGTCTTATCCAGAATAGGTCTTATGGAGATTCTATTCTGAATATAACACGATGTGTTAGTTGCTTCTGCCCAAAAGTTCTTAGCAATGTTAGTCTCGTTGATCATGGTTCTGGCCATTTCTTGTAAAGTTCTATTCTTTCGTTCTACAACTCTGTTTTGTTAAGGAGTTCTAGGACAAGAGAAATCATGAGAGATGTCATTCTCATTAAAAAATAATTCAATTTTTTTGTTTTCGAATTCCCTACCATGATCACCTCTGACTTTAACAATTATAAAATATTTTTCTTTTTGAACTTGGTTACAGAAGGTAAGGAACACAGAGTGTGACTCATCCTTGTGTCTTAAGAACTTTACCCATGTACATATGCTATATTCATATATGATCACCAATCCATACTTCTTGCCACTAATGGATGCAGTTTTCACTGGTCTAAACATATATATATACAGAAGTTCTAATGATCTAGAGGTAGGAACAACATTTTTTGCTTTGAAAGAAGGTTTTGCAAACTTTCCTTTTTGACATGCTTCACACAAAGCATCTGAGCTGTACTTCAGGTTAAGAAGTCCTCTGACCAGATTGAGTTTGTTAATCTGAGATATTCTTCTCATACTAACATGCCTCAATCTTCTGTGCCAGACCCATTGCTCGTCGTTAACAGACATTAGGCATTTTACATTCAGACTTTTTAGTTCAGAAAGTTTTATTTTGTAAATGTTGTTCTTTCTCTTTCCATTAAAAAGGATAGATCCATCTTTCTTACTAACTGCTTTACATGACTTTTGATTGAAGATTATATCATAACTGTTATCACTTAATTGACTTATGGGTAATAGGTTATGCATGAATCCATCTACTAACAGAACATTAGTTATAGAAGGAAGTGTATCGTTACCAATAGTTCCAGAGCTAATAATCTTTCCTTTCTGATTGCCTCTGAAACCTACATAGCCTCCAGATTTAAGCTCCAGACTTTGGAACATATGCTTTCTTCCCGTCATATGTCGAGAGCATGCAAAGTCCAGGTACCAATATTGGTGTTTCAGTTTTGCTGTTAAAGACATATTCAATATAGACAATTTTGTCCTTAGGTACCCATATCTTTTTGGGTCCTTGTTTGTTAGAGTTACCAAAATTTTGTTTGAATTTTGCTTTAGCAGAAAAAGCATTACTAGTATACTTTATGTCATTTGT